GTGTGAGCGGCCTTGTCTGGGACTGATCAATGCCCCTGGCACTTCCTTCCAAAACCCCAGGAAAAACAATTAAAACCCGATCGATCCTGCAGGCAGCTTTGAATATGCATAAGTGCACACTTGACCTTCAGTGGTCAGGCCAACTTCCACCCCGGCTGCTTAGATAGTTTGCTCAGGTATTGCGGCTGTACCGAATGACCTTGATCAGGAAAGCAAAACGCCATGCAGAGATGGGCCTGGCGCTGATCCGGGGGCCAGGGCACGTGCCACGGGCTCCCTGCAGACTCTGCTGCTGCCACAGAGCCAAGGGAAGCAGGCTGGCCTTGGCACTAGCAAGGAGATTTCCAGGGCTGTCCCCGTGGCTTTCCCAAGATCCTGCCAGCCTCCTGCTGTGCTCCCTCAGTTGCTCCTGGCCAGGGTCCAAGGGATATGTCTGGGCTGGGAAGGCAGCCTCCGATGTGGTAGTTCCCTGTGCAGAAAACTCCTGGTCCTTCCCCTTCCAGGCACATCCCTTCCCCAGGGATGGCCCCCATTGCTCTCAACACACTGGTGCTGTGCATGGGGACCTTCCTGTGCTGTCCCTGGGTTTGCTCTGTGGGACAGAGCCCAGGAGCAGGAGCCACATGTGGAGCCACTTCTACCATCACCCAGGGCCACCCGGCAGGTGTGTGGCAGTGTCCCATCCTGCCCCCCAACCTCTGGCCCCCCCCGCCCCATGGCTGGCCAGCCTGCATCCCAACCATGGCAATGAATATACCACAGTGTGTTTGTCGAAGGCAAAGGAAACCTCCCCGTTGTGTACACAAAGTGTAATTTCAGTGAATTATGCATAGACTTAATTAGGAGTTTTAATTGCTAATCATCTCCCAACAGGATTAGCAATGCTGTCTATTAATTATCTGTGGAGCCCTCTGTTTTGCTAAGGCAGGAGTAACAAAGCAGCATGAATGGTTATGTGGGCAACTAATAAATTAACTCCCCCAAGCCCTGTGGCTCCCCGGGGGCTGCTGGCAGTGGGGCTTGTGAAGGGGCTGGACCTGCCCATGCTGGGCAGAGGAGCAGGTAGCAGGGAAGAGGAGCTGGCAGGAGGTCCCAGCGACAGTCAGGTGGCTGGCGGGCTGGTGTGGGGCCGCTCAGCTCCACTCGCCCAGTTTGGCCCTCTTCCTGCTGCAGAGAGCATCTCCCCAGCGTTTGCAGCCTGCGGAGGGTGTCAGCGATGCTCCGCTACACTGTGGCTGTGGTTAGCGATGATCCCTGCTGCAGGAGGCAGATAGAGGCTGCTGGATTGACCTGATCTCATCTGGGGACAATGGCCCTCACGGCAGCAGAGATAGTGCCAGCATGAGCGACGCTAAGCCCACGCACCCTTCTTACTGCTCACAATGCGGCGCTGAGCTTAATTCCTCAAGATGAAGAAGATATGTGGCTGTCAGGCTGTAATTACGGCCGTGCGTGTGACACGGAGGCCTAGCTGCTTTTATGTTTGCGTTGTCCAGTGGGGTTTTTTGCTGCTTGAAGTCCCAGCTTCCTTGCTCCTGCTGGAAGCCCTGCTGGGGGATGTGGTGGGGATAGAGGAGGCCCCCTGTGGGCAGGCTGCAGGCTCCGTGCAGTGGGGTGAGCAGTGCTGTCTCTCAGTGGTGTTCCTCACAGTGCTGGAGAGCCCTGAAGCAACTGGGGTCTAGGGATGAAAAAGAGAGGGAGGCTGGGAGGACTGTACTTGCTGGAGGGGAATGGGGCTGCTGGCCAGGCCAGCCTGGGCATGGGCACCCCTTTCCAAGCCCCCTGTCTCCTGCTGACAACCCCACCTTTGGTAAGGCAGGAATGGGGGAATGTTGTTGGAGCAACCAAGGGACATGGAAGATGATCTCACAGCCCCAGGCTCGCCCCAGCACGGCAAATGGGCACAGAGCCCAGCAAACCTCATGAGTGTTGTCACCTGTAACAGGACACCACCAGAGGCCCTGGACACCTCTTCTCTGAGAACTACATTTTTACATCCAGGAGAGCTGCTGCAAGAGTGATGTGCAGGTCTGAACTGAACATGCTGAATGCAGACCCATGCTGACCCCAGGAGCAGCCAGGCCTGGATCAAGTACAAATTGTGTCTGCACATGGACTGTGCCACCTGACCCTCTGCTTCTCTCTTCCAGGCTTACAGCTTTGCCATGGGGAGTTGGCCAAAGAACGGGCTCCTAGACATGAACAAAGGACTGAACCTACAGCACATAGGGAGGCCTCACAGCGGAATAGGTGAGTGATGCTGTCCTGTGCCATTCCCACCTCTGTGGCTAATGCTCTAGGCGCATAGGATGTGTCTCAGCTCCGAGACCTTGTGCAGTCTGGGGTGCTGAAAGCCAGACAAAGCACTGCAGGGTCTCCAGCTAGTGAAAGGGATGAAGATGTGTCAGGGCAGGATGGGCACATGGATGACCTCTCCATCCCTGACACATCCCTGTGTGCCAAACACCTGCCTGTCCCTCTGGCTAGGGAGCTGTTTCTGTCCTTGGCCGCTCTAGCAGTGCTTGGGTTGGGGTTGGATGTAGGAAGCACCAGGTACCTGGAGCACAGGGCAAGGGTCCTCAGGCTGAATGGATGCTCTCCCTGTTGGACCAGTCCTCCAGTTGCTCTGAATGCTGCATTTATGCAAATCCTTTCCAGCTGAGGTTCTGTGAGGCAGCACAGCCTTGAGAGCTGGCTGGAAACACTCCGCAGAGTGAAGATGCATGTTCGCAGCTGGAGAAGCGAATCAGCGTCCCATTTGCTCACATGTGATGAGTTTCGTGGTCCCACAGCCTGCTTCAGGATAAACAGTGCTCCAAGATAAACAGTGGCAGAGTTCCATGTATCCCCCAATTCCTCTGTGCCAGGGATCAAAGTGATATGAGGGAGACCTGGCCCGGGACACTGAGGCCATATATCTGCCTGCTGTTTAACGCTGGGGACGCAGAGCTGGGACAGCAGCAGGCTTTGGTACAGACAGGAGCTCAGATTTACTGGGCTGTAGACATTGCTGTGACTCAGGGCTGCATCACTCTTGCCTGTCTTGTTTCTCTGTGGGGCAGTGGATCACCACTTGGAGACTGGTGGTCAAGTGTTCCCTCTGCCTCCTAGCCCTTCATCCACAGTGACTTGTGAGCATTAAAGTTTGCAAGGAGGTAAGATTTACTTGGAAAAGTCACCAGCTACCTGGGCCTGGAAGAGGCTGTTTAATGTTGTTTCAAGACTCAAACCATTAAACTCTCCAATCAATCCAAGTTAAAGAGATGAATTATTTAAAGCTCACCAGCTTTTAATTAGCAAGCTCCTTTTGAACTATGGATGTGGTTGCATTATTGACAGAGGTAGCATTAAAATTTGCTTCCTTGCCTGGGAGCAGATTTGCCTCCTTTGTGTACCATGTTGGAGGGAGTGGGGACTGCAGGAGTTGTGTGTGCATGTCCTGCTCTGGGGGCCTGGACTTTTTCTAAGGTCTCCTGGGGGATGCAGAGTTGGTTTCTACCTTATTGTTCCTCATTTTATTTATGTCATGAGCCTAATGTTGCTGTCATCAAAGTGTTGGAGTTCAGGGAGATGCCTCATGTTCCTCTCCATTCTAATCCTTTAGGAGGGTTTTGCTTCTTTGTTTCTGCCAGACTCCCTCCATGGGGGAGCACTCCCAGCTCTCCGCAGTACAGGGTGACCCACAGGCAAATTGTGGGAAGTGAGGCCCAGCCACCAAGCTCCCTTCTTGCAGCACTCCATCCAAGTGGCAAACCTGCCTTTTCCACACTGTTTGGAAGGGTTTTACGTGGGTGCTGTGAAGGATGCCAGGCCAGCAGTGAGACAGTCTCCATCTCCCTGGTACTGCCAGTGGTGCACACATGCCCTGTGTGTTGCAGCCTGCTGGCTGCTCCATTTGAGCTGGCTCCAGAGCAGATCTGTCCTGGATGTCTACAATCCTCTGACTGCTTGCAGAGGTGGCAGCTGCTGGCACCCTGTGCTTCACAGCTTTCCCACAGGCTGAGCCTCCAGGAGTGAGCTGGAGGGTCAGTGAACAGCAGTCAGGGACAAGAACTTCTCCTGCCCAGCTTAGGAGCCCCACGCACAGCCACTGCCTGTGGTGTCATGGCTGCTGGCTTTGGGGCTTGGTAGCCCAGTGTCCCCCTGGGAGAAGGCTTGGGGCGATGCTGGTGCCTGGGGACATGCCTCGCCTGGCATTTTTGAAGGAATCAGCTTTCTGGCCACTTCATTTCCCAGCCTGCTGGCTTTTCAGGCCCCAGGCGTGGATCAGGCGTTGGCTCTAGTGACAGCCCTAGAGGTCCCCAAGCCAAGGGGTGAGGAGGGGCTGCTTACTGGAGAGGCAGCCTGGCTTCCTTGAGTCTGTCTTTGCTACCTCATCCTGAGCAAGTGTCAGTCCTCCACAGCCAAGCCCTTCCATACTGGTCACTGGGGGTGGGCACTGTCATTCCAGTTGCTGACAGTCACCCTGTGGCCTGAGCAGTCGTCACCTCTCTCTTCATGCTCTCAGCTGCCCTTGCTTCAGGTCTGGGAGAGTCATCCGTCCCTTTCTCTGTCCAAGGTTGCCCTCCTCTTCCCTCCCTGACTGTAAGGAGCCTTGCTCCCAACTCAGCCCATCTTCTCAGTCAAATAAATGACCCCTAATCAAGGACTGCTGCTGGAGAAGAGAGAGGAGAAGGGTGAAGCACACTGCCTGCTAAGCTTCTTACTGCCCATGGTGAGACAGGAGCTGGCTGTGGCTCTGGGGATGCTCCCATGTAGACTAGAGCCTTCCTTCTATTTGTGCTCAGTCCTGGGGTGGCAGAAGGGTTGAGGGATGTTGGGGAGCTGAGAGGAGGATTCCCAGGGCATCTAAGATATGTGTAACCAGGGTCAGCCTCTGATTTTCATGGCCCTTGTGGGTTACTGATGTCCAGAAGTCTGCAAACCAAAGAGGGCTGAGAAGGGTGCAGCAAGGAGATTCGTTACCAGTCTCACCAGTTTCCTAAATACCATGCTGTGTAAGAGAGCATCTATGCAGCTCCTTTTCCTGCAGCATGGGGACCAGTCCACGGGGATGCAGATATTCCTGTGAAGCCTCAGCTTGCTTATGCAGGAATCTGCAACATGGATGTTTCCCTTCAAATCTGACAGAAAAATTGCAGTGGATAGCTACTTGTTTTTGCAAACAATTTGCAAGGAATTTTGCCATCTCGCCTGATTGGCTGTGTGTTGCTTTGTTTTCAAATCACTATCTGATTCACTGGCTCAGCAGATAACTGCCCCAAATTCCTGTACTTGGCATGCTCTGGGACCAGTCCCACTCATGTTTCATCTTCTCTCCATCATTTCAAACTCTGGAGAGTTCAAGGCACTGGACATCCTGCAGGGCCAAGGCCAGATTCTGGATGGAAACCACCTTTAGCATCTGTTGGATATGGGCAGGAGGAGCTTGTGCCAGAGCACCATGGAGTCCCCCTACATCCCCTGGGAGATACAGCTGCACATACAGCAGCAAGATGCTGCACAGAGGTCATGTTCTAGCATTTGTCTGGTTTCTAGTCATGAGCAAGTGAGCTGCAAATCTTGTTGAGGGGTTAGAAAAGTGATTTGCGTCCCAAATACATAAAAGTGTATCTGCAAACGCTGCAAATACAGCTGCCTTGAGGCAGGATGGATGCAGGTCTGGTGCCGTTGCATTCTTGGGAGGCAGAAGGTAAAAGGAAGGGGAGAAATGTCAATATTTCAGCTTCCTGAAAAGTGCTGGACAAAATGAGATAGAAAAGTCCTGTTCCAGAAACTGAGGGTGCAGAAATTCTTTGGGAGATCACAAAGGAGCAAAAAGAGAGAGAAGCCTGTTCTTTCATGCCTTTTCTCAGACTGGTATTTCAGCTCCTAAGGATTCCCTCTGGGCTGAATGTGGCCCTGAGGACTGGAGAGGACTTTTTTGTGCAGCTTCCATTTCTTCTCTAACACAGATTAGATGCATGTCAGCTCCAGTATGGGCTGTAGAGTCTTGGGGTGAGAAGCTTCATTTTGTCTGCAGTTTCCTTGGCCTTCAGCAAAATGAAGTTGAGTCTTGCCAAGGAGTTACTCAATCTTACATATGTGTGGACATTGCCATTTTTAAAACATGTGTTTGAGGAGGTGCTTGCCAAAACCAAGTTGCAGCTTGTAATGGGTGTCTTGGCACACTCAGGCAAAGACCAGCATTCACAGGCTCCACACCAATGGCACTGGGTACTTGTGTTGGCTTCTCTCTGAAGACTGATATAAATCAGAAGGATTAAAATCCCAGGTTTTAGTTGTGATTCAAATCAGGCAGCAGATCACCTGCATTCAGTAATTGATTTTCATCTGGTTTTGCCTTTATTTTTAACCTGTTTCCCTGAAAAAAGGTCAAGTTTTACTGAACAGCACCTATGAAACCAAGTGCAGTTTTCCTTACCACTGCCCAGTTGTTGAATCTGGTTATTCTTTTACTCATCAAATACTCTATTTTTGCTACATTTATTTTGATCGATTATGTAACATAATATGCTTTTAGTCTTAGTTTTTTGATATTTTTTACATTAGAAAAATGGTGAATTACTATTTGCTCTTGAAGAGGTGGTGATTAAATTATTACTCATGATTGCTCTTTTGGATAAAAATTGGAATGCTATGGTAAAGTACCCCAGCAGTAGTTTGAATTGGTTTTATTAGTAAAATCCTCTTTAACTTGCACATTCTGAATACAGAAGGAAAAGTAAATTTCAGATTACTTCTGAGGTAAAAACACCTGGTGCATGAAACTGAAGCAAGAAGTGATCAGTGAGTTGAAGGAGTGCTTCTGGAAACCACCCTTTCAAGATTTTAGAATGAGTACATCTTGTCCTCTCCCAGCTTGGCTGGTTTGTTTGTTCCCCTGATTATGGAAAGATAAAAGGCACACCTTCTTTCTTATTTTCAGTCCTTTATTGTTTCCCAGCTCTGAACAAGCCAGTTCTTGAACTGAAAATACACCAAAAACAGGAAGAAGTTTCCAAATCTGCAGAAGTAACTGCTGCTGCTGCTGGGAAAGTTTGTTTCTTGTTTGTCAGCTCTGCTTCCACCTCCAGTGCATTGACTGTCTTTAAAACGTGACATTACCCCTTGCTACTGATGGAATCTTTAAATTTTAGGCTTTAGCACACACGTTACTGTGATGTCTGGTTTGGGGTTTTTTTTCTTTTTGGGGGAAACAGGGTAACCAGGCTGGTGTGCCTCTTGCTAGTGAACCCTCAATGCACATCCCAGGTGA